CTTTCTACTCCCGTAAAGATTTACACCCTCGGAAACCCTATACAGGGTTGCTATGGGTCGGAACCGACTCGATGGCACATAACAACAACAACAACAAATGTTCTCTATGTATTACTAATTGTATTTCAGACTCATAAGTATGTTGCTTTTTTCCCCACATTTGTATAGTTGATTCAGCAGAGTCCCACTTTTATTTTATATTTGTCTGTATATAAACCCTGATTCATTGTTTTAAAGTCCATTACACTGGTAAAACCAGTTTGAATCACTTTTGGTAATCATAGTGAAAAACGTTGGCTGTGTAATCCTATCCAGCACTTCCTCATCTTAGTAAATGGCACCACTATTCACTCAGTTGCTTAAGCCAAAGAATAAGAGTTGTCCTTAATTTCTTCCCTTCCTTCACTTTTTCTGTATTCATTATATCAACAAAGTATTAATTCTATTTTTCAAATATACTTTGGAACTATGTACTTACTTTTCTATCTCAATGGATTTTCATTCTAAACTAACATCTTTGCCTTTAGAATGGTAATAATCACAACTTTTTGTTTCTTCTTTGTCCCAAGATCAATTTTTTAAGCTTTATTAATATAAAATTTCCATATGATAAAATGAACTTATTTTAAATGTATACTTTGAGAGGTTTTGATAAATATCAAAGATAATAAACATATTCATCATCCCCAGAACATTCTTTGGGCACTTTTGTAGTTCCTTCCACCTGCCACTTTATATCTCTACACCCTACCCAACCACTGTTCTGCTATACTATCAGTGTATCTTAGTTTGTATTTTCTATGATTTTATATATATTGCATCATTTAGTATGCTCTCTTCCTATTATCTGGCATGTATTATGCAAAATAATTTCAGATTCATCTATTTTGTTGCATGCATCATTCCTTGCATAGTACATTCCTTTTTAGTATTAGTTCCCTATTGTGTGAGGAGTCGCTTATTGTATGAATATAGCACAGTTTAGTAATTCACCTGTGAATGAAATTGTTTTCATTTCTCTTAGGTAAAATACCTATGTGTCATGTGATAGCTGTATATTTAACTTTTTAAGAAAATTTTTTGCATTTAAAACAAGTTGTTTATTTGCACAGACAAAACAAGACCCTGGTGGAAAAAGCGCTCCAGACTCACCTAGATCACTTCTTCCCTGGCTAGAAAAGATCTGTAGGGCTAGAAACCTCATCTATCTCAATCCTATCATCTCCTTCCCCTAGTCAAAAATAATTAAGAATCCTAGCAAAAGGTCTCAGGTAAAATTTACTCAACCAAGAAGAATAGGACAACCCAAGAGATATGTAGTTGAAAAATAAATGGCTATTGGGTAAAATGTTAGAGGGTCAGTAAAAAAGAGAAAGACCCTCACTGAGATGGAATAACATAGTAGCTGCAACAATGGGCTCAAACATGGCAATGACTGTAAACATGGCACAGGTCCACTTCTACTTCCAGTGGAGTCATTGCGTTCGCACTGTGGGTTAATGTGCTTTAATGTGCTGGACTGCAAAGTCGGTTTGAACCGCAAAGCTGGAGGTTCAAGTTCACCAGTCACTCCTCAGAAACCCTATACAGGTCACTATGGATAAGAAACTCACAGGCACTTAGCAACAACAACAAACTCCCAGTACAATGTATGAGAGTTTCAACTATAACACATCCTTGACATCACTTGGCATAGTCATTCTTTTGAAATTGAAATTATTCTAGTCAGTGTCTTACTCTGGTTTTGATATAAACTTCCCTTGTGAATATTGATTTTGGTACGTTTTCATATGCTTATTAGCCATTCATATATCTCTGGTGAA